TTGGTGGAGGAGGAATAATGGTCTGGGGCTGTTTTTCATGGCTCGGGCTAGGCCCCTTATATATATTAGCTTAGTAGATATAGCGAACCAAGGGCTTAGACTTAGAGCCGTAGAGAACCACTGGTATGTCTGAGGAGGAGGGGGGGATACCGCTGCCCATCTGGCCAGGAACAGAGCATCTGGGGGGAGACTCTCATGGAAAAACACCTCTCCGGATCTCTCTCTGGACCCTCCTGACTGGATAGGAACTGTCGTCCAACGTCTGTCTTTCAGTACCTGTTTAGCTGTTTAGCTGCTTACTGCATTTCATTCCCATAGCAATCTGAGTTTACCCAAATTGTTACGTACCTCTGGTGGATTTTCAAGGCCAGCCTGAGCTATCCTGTCTTGCACATTACAGCTGTGTCCCAAATAGCACCCTATTCACTATACAGAATATAAATATAGCGCCTCTGATCAAAAGTAGTGCACTACATAGGGAATAGGGTGCCATTTGAGAGACAGATTATATGTTTCCTGTTTCCAAGAAGCCAAGTTAGTCCAATGTGAGAGCAAAGTAAAGCAAGGCAACCACAAAACAAATGCCAAAACACAGGTTGTTCCTAGATAATGAGTTGCACAATGGGTCAGTTTGACTTTAAAGAACGCTCTGTACTGAGAAATCCGGGAATACAAATGATGACCTCATCAACAGAAAGGATTACACTCAATGCTCTCCTTACTGTACCTCCTGTTCATATTGTCATAAAGCTCATTAGTATGTTGGCTAAGAGTGTTTTTATACTTCTTAGTTACATGATCTGAAGGCTGTGTTGGGGGAATTGGAAAGCACACATATACACACACACACGCGCACACACACACACACACACACACACACACACACACACACACACACACACCACACACACACACACACACACACACACACACACACACACACACACACACACACACACACAGACACACACACATTTAAATACTTTATTTGAATCCACCAATCAAATTTACAAAACAAGGATCCAAACATTTCAAAGGTCCCTGTATGCATGGCACTCAAGGGTACAGAAAGCACTTCCTTCTTCAAACAGCTTGGCTGCCCACGACAGCTGAAACAGAGCAGTCCCTAGCCAATTGCTTCGCCCTAATTGAAGCAGCTTCCCAAAGGC